GAATTCAGGTGCCAGCTGTAATACCTAAAGACCCTAGAATAGTTCTTCTACATCTCCCTATCCCAGGCCTCACCATTTACCAGCAAAAGCTCGTCATCTTTCTTTTTTTTTTTGTGACTAAACAAACTATCACTGAAGCTGGAAGAAACCTACAGTGGCCCAAGAAAGTAAAACATGAATGCACTGCTTGTTAATGAGAAATGATCTAGCATCCTCGCTGGCAGGCTGGTGCAGTCCATTCACTTCACTGTAGATGGCACTCAAATGAGTGGTAGCATAGCCTGGAAAGGAAGTCAGGGGAAACCTAGTTTCTCTGTGGTTTCCTGGGTCATAGAGCATCATGCCAGTTGGCTACACTGCATCCATGTGACCTCTGGTGACCATCTTGGGTCAGCAGGGTCTTTATAAGTCCTTGCCCCTGGGTTTTGGCACGCTTTTGCAAAGTGGGTAGAGTAGGGAGAGAGACCCCATCTGACAAGGAAGGTGACTAGTAGCAGAGAAAGATTCCTGATGAGGAGGGACAGGTTAGGGTTCTTCTGTCCTCAAGAAAGTTTCCCCTTTTTGGGACCAGACCAACCAGGCCAAACGTCGCCCTCTGAAACAGACACTATCAGTGCATCTCTCTGTGCTGCATTTCTGTCAACTGAACTGTGAGTTTTTCCATAAATGGCATTCTCCCGCTGGGGTGTTTGTATTTGGCATTTTCTTCAATACAAGTTCCAAGTTTTATTGCAACCGGACTCTGTTTTCACTGCCGCTGCACCACGCTGCACCACGCTGCACCTCCCCACACACTTCCTATCTCAAATCCATAGCCTCAGTTACCTATAATTATTTCCCTTTTTCTCTTGTACCGCATCATTGGCGGCCATTTGATCTTCCTCTTCTTCCATTTCTCTCCCCCTATTTGTTCCTATAATCAGCTTTTCCCCATTACCATACCTCATTATTTGCATCTACAGTATGTTTACATGCAGATCATGGAATGGGGGCCACCTAGCTGCATGTGCCAAAGGTTTAATATTATTTTCTAATTACCTGCACTATTTCTTCATTGCTGTGGATGCCATATTACTTTTTACAAAGCTTTGTATGCTTTTAACAGTTTAGCACAAGCCCTTTCACTAAAAACTCAATAAAAAGAATGAAACAGAAAAAAGCTCAGCATGACTATGCCATTATCTGCTAGTACAGCACTTTTTTCTGGATCTAGTATGTCAAAGCAGGATAAATTAGCTTTCCTCTATTTTATCACCATTTGACAGACCCTTTGGTGGTTTGACTGATAGCATCACCAAAGTAAAGATACCAGCTGGTTTGTAAATAGGGAAGTGCTAACCACAGAGAATACAAACATCAGATAAGGCAACCTTCCTTTTGGTTTACAGTTTTGAGATGATATGGGGGCCTCAGTTATCTGATGTTTCTACCCAGCAAAGACATTTCAGATTTACAGGAAATTGTGGGAATCGATTGTGCAACCAACCTGAGGCATTTACCTTTTGTGCCTTACATTTCTAATTCATTTTTACCAATTGTATCTTTTTTCTAACCATATTTATCACTTAAACTTAATTACTATTTCTATCACTCTATTGGTCTAGCCACGGTGTTTGAGAGATGTGTATTCAAGTACTTCAGCCTGTAGGCAGCGTGGTGTGGTGGCAGTAAAGACACTGAGGCCCGGAAACTAATATACTTAAGAACTTGCAAAACAGTCACAACAAGGCGGGCAGGGAATGTCTGACCTAAAAACTTTCAGCCAATGCAGCAGAAAGTAGTGGTAGAAGGCCTGAGCTGAAGACAGCAATTGCCAAGGAAGTTAGAGTATAGCAAGGGTGATCTGACCCAAGAGAGAGCTTGCGGAGATGTAGATGTAGGCCCTACGCTTTCCCTACTCCTCTGGAACCGCTATGTTGTCCCTGACAGATGGGGTATCTCTCCCTACACTAGCCACAAATGCATACCAAAACCTGAATGCAGCATAGCCAACTGGAACGTTGCTCAAGGGAACTGAGGAAAACATAGAGAAACCAAGTTTCTCCAGACTTCCTCTCCAACTGTAGTACCACTCCGGTCCAGGCCCACCTACAGTGGAGAAAGTAGACTACACCTACCTACAAGCCCAAGGATGTGCCACCATTTATGAATCCCTCTGTTGTGGAAACCCATAAGTGAGGTTGAGAAGGTAGAATTCAGATGCCAGGTGTAATATCTGACTGGGTATAGTTAAACTCTACTTTTCACAATTTGAAGCACAATATATATTGATTGTTACTGGGTCAGGTTAATTACGCAATTAACCCTTCACACTGCCACCACCTCCTTTTTGTACAGAGAAAGGAAACTCGGCGATATCAGCAATAACACTGTGACCGAGGGTAAGCGGGTCAAAACACACAAGGCAGGCGGCAAACACTTAAAGCTTTATTAAAACAGACAACAGTCACTCAATGGGGAGTAGTGAAGGGAGAAAGAGTCCAAAATAATTGTAGTCCAGCCCCACGGCAAAGTTAAAGTCTCTACAGAAGTTTATAATCCAAACAGGGGGGTGGTGTGAGTCTCTGTAGTAGTTGTAATCCAACAGGGAGGTGGAGTGGGAGTACAAGAACAGTTCAGGGAAAACAGGAGAACATGAACTCACGGGTCTGACAGGGATGTCCTGGTTCACAGCAGATGGCAGCAGCGGCAACCCTGCTCAGCACACGGCAGCAGCAGATAGTTCTAGCACACAGCCGAGGGGCAGTTGAGGCAAAGAGAGCCCGGGCACAGCAGAGGGCAATTCAGGCAGGCAAAGTAATCAGGGCCCACAGCAGAAGGTAGCTCTGGCAGGCAGGAGGTCCGGGCACACAGCAGAGGGCAGTTGACAGGGTAGCCATCCAGGGACTCACCAGCCAGCAGTGTACAAAGCAAAGTACAGTTCCAATCATCTCCTAGTTAAGGCTCAGGCAGGAGTAGCCTTGTCCATCATGACTCCAGCTCTCCCAACAAAGAGTCCACATGGCCCTGCAATTGTCCCCACCCCCAACTTCCTGCTAAGAAGTGGCCTGGACTGGTTTTCCCTAGCCACACAGAGCCATGCTGCCTTTGTTCTATATGGAGATACATCCCACTTCCCCTCCCCCCTGTGAGGCCCAGGAACTTCAGACAACACACAAAAAAAAAAATATTTCTGCTGTCTGTCACAAACACTATGATGTTTGAATAATCGTCTGTATACCACTGTCACCGCAGGCAGGTTATACAGAGGTTTAAAACACACACACAGTAGCGCTTTTCAGAGGCAGGAGTTCTCAGTTTGCGTTAAAGAGCTTTAGAAACAGTTCAACACTTTCAGAAAGTAAGATTTATTACTAAAAGGTCAAAAGGGTGCAATAAAAATGTTTACAGAAAAAGATGTAGCCAATATATATAAATATACAGAGAACAATAGCACAGCAAAGAGATAACAGAAAGGAATTTAGGGAGGTAAAGTACTTGCCAAACGTCCTGGTTTAAGCAGATCAGGTTTCATGAGCCAAAAGGATGCCTTATCTCCCAAGGTTAGTTCTGATGTTAAAAAGGGAGATTCTTCAACTTTCTTTTACTCAGCTTAGCTTAGCTTTTTCTAGCAACTCCACAGGGTGTCTCCCTGAAACAGAGAACCAATTGGCTCATTTGGGTAGGGAGTTGTAGGTGGAGACCTCAGGCTATGACCAAAGCCTGCACAAATCATATTATGGTTCATAACTTACCCTGGATACATATAACATTCTATTCATGAGTAGATTAGTACGCAGAAGCTTCTGCTGAATGGTTAGATATGAAATATGAAATATCCGCTCGAATGGTTACGGAGAAATAATTTTTTGCTCTCCTGTATATGCCAGATAGGGGGTGTAATATACCAGGAGACTTGTCTTAAATTGAGCCATCCGAATATTGGCTCCATGTTTATGTAATTATGTCCTATCTGAAGATATAAACTTATATGAAAAAGTGAGTTTTTAAATGTAAGTCTATTTTTTACGACTCCCTGGAATGCCTTTGAGCTTAGTGAAGGACTTGGTTTATGGTTTTACGAGCTCTTCTCTAGCAAGATTCTGGCAGACATCGGGCACCAGCTAGTTGTGAGGTTTATAACCATGACGCCCCCCCAATGAGTTTGTTGCCTATGATCTGTGCAAACACACAATGACCACATTCCTGAGGGAGGGGGAAAATCAGAGGAGGGAGACTGATTTGGGAGAGAGAGATACAAAATGGAGGGGTTTGGAGCAAAATGGATGACCGCGTCCATCTCTGTGTGCATGATTGCTACAGGGGGCACTTGTGAATGTACAGTGGGGGCTCTAGTGGGCATTAGTTGATGTAAGGGTGGACTCATCTCGGCACTTCTGGATTAGGGGGGACTCAGGGGAACTTGTGAATGTACAGTTTGGACACTGGTGGGCACTAGTGGATGTAAAAGGGGACTCTGTATGGCACTTCTAGATGTAAGGGGGGACTCAGCTGGGCACTCGGGGATGTAAGGGGTAACTTAACATGCATTGAAAAAAAAAATTAGGACTGCAAATATTTGTAAAAAATAAGATGCAGCTCTCATACTGAAAATTTTATGGACCCTGCCTTAGAGCATCAGGGAGATATTTTTTTTTTCCTTTTTGAGCTAATTACATTATGCTTTATAAGGGGTTTTTTCAACCATACTCCTTATCAAAGGTAATTAGGGTTCTGAGGGTGAAAGTTTTTATTATATTTTTTTCTTTTAGTTGAAATTGATGGAAATATTTTTTTTATGCCTGACTGACTAAACTAGGAAAACTTTTTGTAACAGTGGTCCTGTAAAGATATACGTAAATAGCAAGAGTTGCTCTTCTATCTTCAAATTGCTGTTTGTAGCTTTAACACTTATATTTTCTGTTAATATTTAGATGGACACCCTAAACTTCTCCGATTATTTCAATAATTTCGATGATGAGCCCGAGTTTCACCCTGTCTTTGGACTCTACCTCCCGATCATGTACTCCATCATCTGTGCAGCTGGCCTCCTGGGCAACGTGCTGGTTATTGTTGTGTTTGTCTTCTATGAAAAGAAAAAGACGCTGACAGAGGCATTTTTCCTTAATTTGGCTGTGGCCGATATTTTGTTTCTCTGTACGCTTCCATTTCTGGTCTGTCAGCTGCGCTTCAAGAACTGGATCTTCGGAGACATCATGTGTAAAATGGTTTTTGGAATGTACAAAGTGAACCTCTTTACATCAATGCTCACACTCACCGCTATTACCCTCGACCGCTTTGTTTCTATTGTTAGAGGGGTGAAAGCACATAAATACCAACAACACAAGCACAAGTGGGGCACCGTGATGTGCGCCTTCATCTGGGTGACCTCGGTGCTCCTCGCTGTGCCACAGTTTATATTTTCTAATGATAGCAGAGGGTACTGCTCAGACGTCTATGATGATAAGGAGAAGCTGGAGATAACTGTCTATTCGTTCCAGCTGATTGTTGGCTTTTTCCTGCCGTTATTGAACATGGTGGTCTGTTACAGTTTCATTCTCAACACTTTGATTCGTTCTAAGAGTTTACAGAAGAAGAAATCCATCCGAATCATCCTGACGCTGGTGGTGGCTTTCATTGTCACCCAGATGCCCTTTAATGTCACTTTTCTGATCTCAATATTGCATAAACACAGCAACCACATAACAGACATAGCAGAAGTCCTGTCAATACTGGAAGCTGTGGCATACCTTCATGCCTGCTTGAACCCAATCTTATATTTCTTTGTTGGCACCAAATTTAGAAACAACTTCTGGAAGATGCTGAGATGTTTCAAATTGGTTAAAGAAAGGGAAGAGCCAAGCCGAGGAAATGAAGGAAGTTCCAAAGTCGCTTCTGGTTCTACCCACATGGAGGTCTTCAGCCTTGTGCAGACTAATGCCCCGCATATACAATGAGAAGATCAAACAAAAAATACCGCTTTTGAAACGATCATCCGATAATCTGATCAGTAGTACACAGCTTTGGAGAGCTGATTAGGACAGTTCATGCGACAATATACGAAGGGACAAACGTGAAAAGTTTTCTTGTATGATAATGGAACAAACAATTTTCATTTAATCAGTACAGTATTCATCTAAGACGACGCATCAGACGATGCATCATGCTCAGAAACAATTAATATATTACAATACAATACATTATATCACTTCCAAAGTTGTATTCTGTTGTATGAGAATTTTCATAACTTCAGTAACCTTTTCATTTTTGATGAAACTAGCATGCAGAAAAAAAAGAATGACTCGATTCTGTGCTTTCAAGCATCCTCTATTATCACCGTTATAATGTAAAGCAATGCACAAACTGTTGGCGCTATATAAATCCTGTATAATAATAATAATAATAATAATTAGAGCCATCTCTTCTGCATAGATCTACCCTACCCCCTACTCACTGCCATTGCTGAAGCACAGATGTGCCTCATCCCCTTAATACTGCCATCATTGCCCCAAATATCATCATTACCCCCTCATTACTGCCATTGCTGTTATATAGATCCACTTCACCCCACCCCTTTTCATCACCATCACTGAGGCACAGATTTACACCACCACCTCATTACCACCATCAATGCCACACAGATCCTCCCTACCCCCTCATAACTGCCATCGCTGCCTCATAGATCCTCCCTACCCCCCTCATAACTGCCATCGCTGCCTCACAGATCCTCCCTACCCCCTCATAACTGCCATTGCTGCCTCACAGCTCCTTCCTACCCCCTCATAACTGCCATCGCTGCCTCACAGCTCCTTCCTACCCCTTCATAACTGCCATCGCTGCCTCACAGATCCTCCCTACCCCCTCATAACTGCCATCGCTGCCTCACAGATCCTCCCTACCACCTCATAACTACCATCGCTGCCTCACAGCTCCTTCCTACCCCCTCATAACTGCTATTGCTGCCTCACAGCTCCTTCCTACCCCTTCATAACTGCCATCGCTGCCTCACAGCTCATTCCTACCCCCTCATAACTGCCATCTCAGCCTCACAGCTCATTCCTACCCCCTCATAACTGCCATCTCAGCCTCACAGCTCCTTCCTACCCCCTCACAACTGCATTCACTTTTGTGAAGACAGCATTCCTTATCTCCCTCAACCACACTCCCAGAGTCAGACTTCAAATATACTCCAAAACAATGTATCTCTTTGAAGTGTAAACCTAGTCTTTATACCTTATTCCTTTCATCAGTGGGTAATCAAACACACTCCATGTGTGACACACACCTGTTGTGCACTGTAAGTCACAGGAATTGGCTCCACCACCTGTATCTCCAACAGTCCCGAAACACTAGGGTTACCACCTCATCCTTTTAAAACTAAACACATATTAATTACACAGGTTCTGAGGCAGATAAAGCACCACGTGAGTTTAATTACCACCGTAATCAGTCACAGAACCTGTGTAAGTAATATGTGTTAGGTTTTAAGGGGATGAGGTGGCAATCCTATGGAACACATGCATCCCAAGCCTTCCCCCCATGAAGAAGGGCCAATTTTTGTTATCAGGCCACAAGACCTACCATTACACCTGCACCATCACCTTTTTTATTTAATTTTATTCATATTTCTTCATGTATATGTCACTCTGCACTTATGTGTGTTTTTTCCACTTGGATTGTAGGGTATGGGTCTTCTGGCCTACCCTGTAGTCTAGGTGGAGGATGTGTGGCCCTTAGGTTCCTTCTTCCCCTGCTATGGGAAAGGGGGTGGTCTCTCTTTATTAGGGCCCTTCACCTAGCCTTTGGTCGGCTTTGACTGATGATAAGGAGCTGGGTCTGCCGGGCCTTTTAGCCAGGTGAACCTTGTTAAGGTTCATTTAATTCAGGATGCTCTCACTCTCCCATCCATCCTGGGGTGCTTACCGTGGGTACCCGGGAATAAGATCAGTACAAACCAAGGTATTGCAAATTGTAGTCAGAGATTTATTCACTGTGTTCAAACTTAAATGTGTAAGCAGGTTGGCAGGTATAATATGGCCTTTAACCAATAAAAATAATAAAAAGTTTTGCTTACAGGATACTATGCCAAAGTTTATCACCTAGTTTTGTAAACAAGAACATGAATTCAGACAGAGAAACTATAGAACAGACAGAAATGTATAAATAGTAACTCTATCAGACCTAACATGCCTTGCGCCCCCAGTGGTCAGGGAAGAATCTTTCTCTTCTGGAAGGACCATATGACACACCTTAAACCATATGACCATATGACACACCTTAAACCATATGACCATATGACACACCTTAAACCATATTACCATATGACACACCTTTTAAACCTCAGACATGAAATATGGACAAAGCATATCCTTCTATAGTGTGTACTTGTCTCAATTAAGAGCACTAAGTGTCATTTCTGTCTGCTGCTTCATTCCTCTGCTATCAGCATGAATCACTTCTGACAAGTTTTCCTGACACCAAGAGCAAATGGTGACAGGGAAGGGACCTCCAGGTGATTCACAGCCTCAGCTCTGTTCCTCTGTGCTGTGTGAAGGGGAATGTGCCCTTTTCCTCCAATTAGCTCCCAATGTTCTCCTCACTACGCTCTACAGAGTATAACTTTAGCTCTCTGTCCCCTTTTTTCTGACAGCTCAGACAAACTTTATAAATTCTAGACTTTGAACAGTTGAAGGGAAAAGAAGACTGGAGATAAACAGGTCCAACATATGTAGGAGGATTTGTTTCATCTCTGTGTATCGCCTGAGGGCAGTCACTTCACTGGGTATATGCAAGGGTTTACAACCACTTTAAGTGCACTTTTTTTTGTATATGTTCACATACACTTTTTTGGTTTGCTGTTGTGTTTTGATTTACGCACCATGGGATCAGAAATAAAATATAACCTTCGATGCATAGGGCATTTACAGTGGAGCCACTGGAAGTCTGTAGTTTGGGTGCCAGCCCCAAAACAGATGTTGCCAGTGGTGATTTTGCCCTTTTATCATGCCAATTTATTTGAGGCTTGATCGGGAGGTCCCCAGAAGCAGGAAGGCTTGGGACCCATGAGTGCTAGGACTGTAGGAGGTACCAGCACCTCAAAACATGGTGGAGCTGATTCCTGTGACAGAGTGAAACAGGTATGCGCCATGCCCAGGTCACAGAAAATGTGTTTGATCACTGACTGGTGAATGAAGAAGGCATAAATAAAGAGTGGGTTTGAACATGTAAGAGAGAAATTGCTTTTCACATTGGAGGAAACAGGTATAATTGAAGTGTGACACGGGACGTATGGTTGTCGGAGGAAAGGAACACTGTCATCTCTAAATTTATGTTAGCTCTGTCCAGATGATGTTATGATTTTGCAGGCAGCTCCAGATAGATAATAAATCTGCTTCTATTCTAAATAAACTCATTTAACAAACAAGGTTTGATGTGTGTGTGTGTCCTGTGTCTTCATATTCCCCTCACTCCACATCAACTGGGAGGAGATGGGATAATAAGAACCAAGATGGGAGAAGAGAAGATAAAGAGCACTATGATGGGAGGAGATGGGATAATAAGAACCAAGATGGGAGAAGAGAAGATAAAGAGCACTATGATGGGAGGAGATGGGATAATAAGAACCAAGATAGGAGAAGAGAAGATAAAGGTGTCCTTTTATGACACAGAGAATAGCTGCGATTCAACAGATCTCAGCTATTCTCTGGTCATTCACAGTTTATAACACTTAGGAGATCCTGTCAGCCCTTCTCTGGAGATCTGTGTTCTCCGTCCAGATTCTCCAGCCCAGAGCTGGAGAATCAGAGGGACCGAAAATAAAGAGATAATTTACCTCTGCTTAGTAAACTGGTCTTTTACTGTAATCTGGAGAGATTATAGTGGTTTTTCAGAGTTTGTAGACCGTTATCCAGCGTTTGGAAGCCGTTCTCCCTTCGTTGGAGAACTGCTTCATAAACTGCATTCACAGGAGAACTTTGTTCTCCGAGAATGCCGGAAACTGAGCAGCGATCTATTACCTCTGGTTCACAAACGGACACCAAAGAGCACTATGATGGGAGGAGATGGGATAAAGAAAAACCTTGATGGGAGGAGATAAAATAATGAACACCATGATGGGAGGAGATAAGATAATGAACACCATGATGGGAGGAGATAAAATATGAACACCATGATGGAAGGAGATAAAATATTGAACACCATGATGGGAGGAGATTAGATAATGAGCACCATGATGGGAGGAGATTAGATAATGATCTCCATGATGGGAGGAGATAAGATAGTTACATATAGTTACATAGTTAGTCCGGCCATGATGGGAGGAGATAAGATAATGAGTGTCATGACTGGAGGAGATAATATAATTAGAACCGTGATCAGGAGATAAGATAATGAGAACCGTGATGGGAAGAGATGGCATAATGAAAACTGATAGGAGGAACCAAGATAATAAGAATTGGGATAGGAAGAAATGGCATAACGAGAACCGAGATGGGGGGAGATGGTATAATGGGAACCAGGAAGGGGGAAGATTATATAATGAGCACAGTGATGGGAGGAGATACAATAATGAGAACTGTGGCGAGAGAGAGACGATATAATGAGAACTGTGATGGGGAGAGATAATTAAAGAGATACTGTAAGATACTGTAGCACTACCCCCTCAGGAGTTGCTGAGTTTTTTGGCCCTCCTATAGTCCTGCACAGCCAGGCAACAGGCATTTCCTTCACACTTGCACACTGGAGTCAGTAAAACAGTCCTTGAGCTTGTTTTTTTTTTTTGTTTCATTAAGGGGTATTGAACTTGGATGGGGTTGAGGGCTGTATGGGATGCCCAAGGAAACCGCATCAGGACAACTCCTTGGCACAAGTCCACAGACAAAGACTCTTTTCTTGGAGAGCTCTCCAGCCCTCCTGGTGTACCACCTCAGTCCCCTCATGAATTCTCCTCTTCACCTAGCTGCCTGAGGGAACCCCTAAGCAAGGGGACCCCGAATCTGCCAATCAACAGTCCAGATGGAGGGTAGTCAGGTTTCCCATCAGAATACCCTCTCCCCTTATCCGGGCAGGGTGTGTAGGATTACTCACTCAGTCCTCTTCTGCAAGCTTGTGGGTTGGTGGCTACCTTCAGGTCTTATGCTGGGCTGGCTCCTTCCCTACTTCCCAAGCTGTCCTCTCTCAGGGAACAATTGAGGCTGAGAGATCCTCCTTTCCAACTCCTGTCTGCAGGTAAGCCCCTCTCTTGGGCCTCCTCCCAGGCTCCACACTCCAGCCCTCACTCCATCTTCCACCTGACACTACTCCTCCTGCTGATCAAGCTCTTTCATATTAAAGGACTGCCCCATGCCAAGCCTCCTGCTTGGGGATTGGCTAAGATCCCTTAACTATGCAGATCAACCCCTCATCTCCCCTACCCACTGCCTTGTAGAAACTTCTCAAGCTTCTAGAGCAGGGGGAGGTATCAGGGAACTGGCCCTCAGCCCTGACCCTCAGTAACCTGGCTGATTAACGTGACAACAAAACTTGTGTTCTGGTAAAGTGCCTAAATTTTAAGATCATATAAATGTGCCAAAACAAAATCCTGATATGCCACCTAGTGGCTAACCAGAAAAGTGAAAATTATTGAGTGATAATAGATAGACAAAGTGACAAGTGTAAATAAATAAATATATCAAAACAGTCCAAAATAACGTGATATCAAAACTGTGCAAATAATATATGGTGTTCAATACACCGTGCTTCAGAAATTCATTCCATGCTGCAAACGTGCTCCTGGTGACACTCTGACGTGACTCCCCTGGACTAGCTAAAGTGCCTCCTCACCGTCTAAATTCGACCCATAAGGGCCACAGAGCTTTATACTATAAGGATCTCAACCTGGGCTTCAATCCTCCACTGGTTCCACCGACTCCACTAAGGTCCCCTTCGGAGTAATATGTTCCTCTCAGACCACTCTCCTCGCAATATGGACTCAGATATACAGGGCATGTATATTAAAACAAAAACAGACCTCCATAGTGCAACAACGTTTTATTTACACTTAAAAAACTCCACAAATTGAACATTCACATGTTATCCAGTACACAAACATGGTTTCCCATGTGATATGGGTGTACTAAGGGATAAGGTGTACCAAGATGGCATCTGGAAATGGAACCGGAAGTGCGTCACCACTCGAAACCAAAAATGCGTCTACGCGTTACACCACGGTCACATGGCTTCTTCAGGTTCTTTTTAGGATAATGAGCACCATGGATGCGAGGAGATAGAATATTAAGCACCATGGATGGGAGGAGATGGGATAATGAGTGTAGCAAACTTGCTCATCAGAGTGGGACGCGGAGTTCCCCTTTTTTTTTTTAATTTAGAAGTATTACTCAGTCCTTCATTCCCTACCCCCCCCCCCCCTTCCTGAGAGGCAAACTTTATATCTTGACAGATGGTGTGGGTCAACCCAGGTTAAGGCATCCTTAGTCCGGTGCCAGGCAGTCTGCGAAAGTGTGGCCTTCATCACCTAAAGTCCTGATAAGGCCAGCGTGACCCCAGAACTTGCTTAGGCTCACCCATCATAAAACAGATAAGGCAGTTTCTCCCCGGAATTGAAAGAGATTGTAACCTCACAAAACCTAACAGTTAAAGATGACAGAATGAAATGAACATTCCCCAAGTCAGGTTTTTTCCCCTATGTTTCATGTCATGGATTATGACAGATGTTGGTTCTAATTCAGAGATCTCCCGACTGACCCTTCCCAAAACAGCGTAGTGGCCAGTGTTCAGAGCCGCCCCCCCCCCCCCCTTGCAGAGGGATTTTAAAAAGACAGGCTGACAAGCCTAAGGAAGCAAAACACATCTCCTGGTCTTAACATCGTAACAGAGGAGATCAAAGACCCTTTCTGCTCTGCAACTTGGATCTGCTTACAAACCAAGGTGTATTGGCAAGTAACTTAACCCTGTAACTTCCTTCCTATTATCTCTGCTGTGTTGTGGGTCTTTATATGCATATATATATATATATATATATATATATCTAATTACATTTTCTTTGTAAATATTTTATTGCACCTGTTTGACTCTTTTTGTAATAAATCTTTCTTTCTGAAAGTGTTAAACTGTTTCTAAGCGCTTACTTGCAATTCACGAATTCCTGCCTTTGAAGAGACGCTACTGTTTGTTATAATCTCTGTATAACAGGCCTGCGGACCATGTTATATAGATCAATATTTCAATCATTATAGTGTATATTTGATAACGGAAGTTTCCCAGTCTCCGACAAAAGTGGTGGTGGCAGTAGAGGGTTAGTTGTGTAATTAACCCGACCCAGTAACAAGCGCATTCAGGCTGCAGGCACCGATTGTAGTCCATTAGCTGGGCAATCGCTGTGCAGGGTGCAGCTAGGTGTGGCCTTGTTACGCGCGTCACACCGCGGTTTTAGATCGGCTGGTCCTTTGGTCACGAGTTTGGTGAGAAGGTCTGGGGTCTGACGCCGCGGGCGTGACGTATTATTGTTGGTCGCGGTCGTGCGATTGTCGCATGTTGGTGATATTGCGATCGTGACAGTGAGCACTGTTATGGGTGGGGATAGGATAATGAGCATTGTGGGTGGGTGGGAATAGGATAATGAGCACCTTGGATGGGAGGAGATAGGATAATAAGCACCATGGATGGGAGCAGATGGGATAATGAGCACTGTTATGGGTGGGATAGGATAATGAGCATCGTGGATGGGCGGAGATAGGATAATGAGCACCATGGATGGGAGGAGATGGGAATAATGACACATGGATGGGAGGAGATGGGATAATGAGCACTGTTATGGGGGGGAAACAGGACAATAAGCATGTGATGGGCGGGATAGGATAATGAGCACCTGTGGATGGGAGGGATAGGATAATGAGCACCATGGGGATGGGAGGAGATGGAATAATGAGCACTGGGGATGGGAGCACCATGGATGGGATAAACAGCACAATTGTGCATTGTGATGGGGTGATAGGATAGGATAATGAGCACCATGGATGGGCGGGACAGGATAAAGCACTGGGGTGGGCAGGGATATTATAATGAGTGTGGATGGGAGGTGATATGGGATAATGAGCACCATGGATGGGATGGGTTGAGCACCATAGGAGACATGAGCATTGGGATGGGAGGAGATGGGATAATGAGCACCATGATGGGTGGGGATAGGATAATGAGCACCGGGATGGGAGGAGATGGGATAATGAGCACCATGATGGGTGGGGATAGGATAATGAGCACCGTGGATGGGAGGAGATGGGATAATGAGCACCATGATGGGCGGGGATAGGATAATGAGCACCATGGATGGGAGGAGATGGGATAATGAGCACCATGATGGGCGGGGATAGGATAATGAGCACCGTGGATGGGAGGAGATGGGATAATGAGCACCATGATGGGCGGGGATAGGATAATGAGCACAGTGGATGGAAGGAGATAACATGACAACTTTGGTGAAAAGAGGCGATATAATGACAGCAGAGATGGGAAAAGATATGAGAACTGTGATATGGCGAGATTACGAAGGAGATGAGACAATGGGCACTGTGATGGGAGAGGATAAAATAATGACGATAAGAACCGAGATGGGAGGAGATAGGATGATGATAACTTTAATGGGCGGAGATATGATAATGAACTCAGTGATGGGAATAGATGGCATAATATTAGCTGTGATGGGAAGAGATCATGAAGTACGGATGTGAGAAGTATGATCGCTTGGAAACCGGAATCTGGAATACAGTACTCATAAGGACCCGGAATTCCTTTGTACGGAACAAGGAAGTGTATGAAGTGCATTCAGAAACCGGAAGTAGTCCTCACGCCCCGGGAGTTAATTGTACGAACACTAGACGTGCGGTAGTGGAGGGATTTGACCTGTGCTGGTCGTTATGCGGTTGTTCCCGGGACTTCTGGTGTCTCATGGCAAAGTGGCCCGGCAGATGGGGTTGGGGCCCCGATCCCGGCTAGATATGCTGCGGAATCTCCTCACCGCTTTGGTCAGACATGAGAGAATAGAGACCACGTGGGCTCGGGCCGATGAGCTGACCTTTTATGCCAACAAGGTGACGTTCTCGGGACATATGAGGGGGTGGGGGGGACCTGCACTACATTCCAGACTTGAAATGTGAGAGTTACACATTATAGTCCACGGTGCGGGGGTCTGGGGTGTGTGTGACGGGGGGGAGGGGATAGAGTTACTATCGACCTCTGAACACAAAGGGGTCAGGAGTAAGTACCACAGAGTGCAGGGGGAAGTAATGCAGGGGTCAGCAGTATGTATAACAGTACAGGGTCAGGAGTATGTGATGCAGGGTTCAGGAATAAGTAGTCAGGAGTATGTGACGCAGGGTTCAGGAGTATGTGATGCAGAGTGCAGGGTTCAGGAGTATGTGATGCAGGGTTCAGGAGTATGTGTGCAGGGTTCAGGAGTATATGATGCAGAGTGCAGGGTTCAGGAGTATGTGATGCAGAGTGCAGGGGTCAGGAGTATGTGATGCAGAGTGCAGGGGTCAGGAGTATGTGATGCAGAGTGCAGGGGTCAGGAATAAGTCAGGAGTATGTGACGCAGGGGTCAGGAATAAGTAGTCAGGAGTATGTGACGCAGGGTTCAGGGGTATGTGACGCAGGGGTCAGGAGTATGTTATGCAGAGTGCAGGGGTCAGGAGTATGTTGTGCAGGGGTCAGGAATATGTAATGCAGAGTGCAGGGGTCAGAAGTATGTGACGCAGGGGTCAGGAGTAACATCAAGTGCAAAGATCAGGAGTATGTGACGCCGAGTGCAGTGGTCAGTAGTATGTAAAAAAGAGTGCAAGGGTTAGCAGTAAGTAATGCAGAGTGCAGGGTTCAGGAGTAATTAACAAATCTCTCTCCATTTTACCCTTGAAATGCAGGTGATAGCAAACAAGAAGCCCATCACTTCCTCTCTACACCCTCACCCTGTCCTCGTCCAGTCCTTGCTGTCCCCCATTATTAGCAGTGCTTCTCCCTGACAGGTCAGGCGCTCGCACACTATGCTGAGCTGAGGTGAACTCCTGTCAGCCAAGTGATGCCTTCCTGGCTCAGCCAATCAGAGAGGGATGGTGGCACTGCAAGGCAGCTGTAGACAGCAGGGTGGCAAGGAAAAGACTGACCGACTCTTGGCCACTCAGGCTGCTTTCACACTGGTTCGCCTCAGAAATGCTTGAAAAATGACTAACGTTTTTTGAGCGTTTTTGAGGCGTTTTTCAAGAGGAACATCCTGACATGTGACTTACTTTTGTAGCTCAAATTGGGCAGATTTGCACGTTTGAATTCACAAAATAAACCGCTACTAAAATACCGCAGGAGTTATTTTATAAAGTCACGCAGTATTTTAGTAGTGAAAACCAGGCATTAATGTTTCAGCTGTCGGCGGGGTTCCGCACTGACAGCTGAATGTAAAAGAAAGAATTGCCAGCAATTAAAAAATAATTAAAACAGCATGGGGTCCCCCCCTTTATACCAAGGGTCTGGTATGGATTTTGAGGGGAACCATGGGTGGGAGGAGATGGGATAATGGCGTGGGGGTCCACCCCAAAATCCATACCAGACCCTTACCTGAGCGTGCAGCCTGGCAGGTCAGGAAAGGGGGCATGACGACGAGCGAGCGCCCCCCTCCTGAACCATACCATGTTGATGGGGACAAGGGCCTCTTCCCCACAACCCTGGGCTGTGATTGTGGGGGTCTGTGGGCGGGGGGCTTATTGGAACCTGAAAGCCCCCCCTTTAGCCCCCAGATCCCGCCCTCCCCCCCACTATATGAATGAGTATGGGGTACATGGTACCACTACCCATTCACAAAAAACAAATGAAGTGTGAAAAATGAAAAGACAGGAGACAGTCTCTGACAAGTCCTTTAATTAAAGAAGGAAAATAGAAAGAATGTCCCCCGAAGTAGATCCAACGTCAGTCACAATGCCCGCTGCCGACCGGAAAAAAGAAAAATAAAAGATGGCTCCGCTCCCAATGCTGGCTCCCGGCCGTCTGACTGCTCCGCTGGCTTGACATCGACCGGGGCATGCTGGGTCAATGATGTCACATGGGGGCAGGCTCACATACGTGATGGGTCCCGCCCTTTACTGGGTCGCCTGTCCTGTATAGTGAGGGAGACGGGCGCAGGGGACGCCTGTCCTGTATAGTGAGGGAGACGGGCACGGGGGAGGCCTGTCCTGCATAGTGAGGGAGATGGAGGCAGGGGACACCTGTCCTGTATAGTGAGGGAGACAGAGGCAGGGGACACCTGTCCTGCATAGTGAGGGAGACGGAGGCAGGGGACACCTGTCCTGTGTAGTGAGGGAGACGGAGGCAGGGGACGCCTGTCCTGCGTAGTGAGGGAGACGGAGGCAGGGGACGCCTGTCCTGCGTAGTGAGGGAGACGGAGGCAGGGGACGCCTGTCCTGCGTAGTGAGGGAGACGGAGGCAGGGGACGCCTGTCCCTGCGTGGTGAGGGAGACGGAGGCAGGGGACGCCTGTCCTGCGTGGTGAGGGAGACGGAGGCAGGGGACGCCTGTCCTGCATGGTGAGGGAGACGGAGGCAGGGGACGCCTGTCCTGCATAGTGAGGGAGACGGAGGCAGGGGACGCCTGTCCTGTATAGTGAGGGAGACGGAGGCAGGGGACGCCTGTCCTGTATAGTGAGGGGACGGAGGCAGGGGACGCCTGTCCTGTATAGTGAGGGAGACGGGCGCAGGGGACGCCTGTCCTGTATAGTGAGGGAGACGGAGGCAGGGGACGCCTGTCCTGTGTAGTGAGGGAGACTGAGTCAGGGGACGCCTGTCCTGTATAGTGAGGGAGACGGGCGCAGGGGACGCCTGTCCTGTATAGTGAGGGAGACGGGCGCAGGGGACGCGTATTAATCACTATATAGTGGACAGAACAGCACATGTATTTCCTGCATCCATCCAGCGGTATGAACATTAACAGCTAAAACACATGGAGCCGTTTTCTCCTTTGGAATGGGTTTAAAGCGGAGTTCCACTCATCCTGTCAAAAAATTAAAGTCAGCATCTACAAAAACTGTAGCTGCTCACTTTTTAAAAACAGCCACTCACCTGTCCCTTGGTCCCGTGGTGTGTCCCCCGCAGCCTGTTTCACCGGCCGTCCTGTATTCCAGTGTGGACACCCAGCTGTAACAGCTTGCGGCTTCACAGCCGGTTACCCACTATGCATGCGCGAGTAGCGCTGCGCTTCATGAATGGTCCTGAAGTCTTCTGGGACCTGTCATGTGTCCCAAAAGACTACAGGGAGGGAGGGAGGACACCCGGAAGTGGGAGTGGGTACCTGTCAAATGATTTGTGAATTCTCTTCAACAAAAAACTACCTGATAGAATAAAGTGTTATATCTGCATATTTTTTCTCAGATTATAGATTATGGGAAGCGTGGAGATACTAATGAGAAAGCAATGAAGATGGCGGACTTCTGGCTGACGGTAAATCAACATTTCTGTTTGTATTTAGATACCAAAGTGTCGTTCTGCTCAGAGATTGTATTTTCTTTATTTTTGGTGGATTCTGTAAGCCAGCCTTTCTCAACCTGGGTGCCATGTGAGTTTGTCAGGGGTGCTGTGTAATACTGATTGAGAGAGGCTCTCAGACCGAGCTCCCATTGCCTTGCCAAACTGTACATTGGCACAGTGGGAGTTCGATCAGGACAGTGACGTACAGAGCAGAGGAAGGGGGAGGCATCTTCCTATTCTGACCTCCTCCACCCCCCACTGTAGTGCAGTAGCCAGCAGTGTGAGTGCAAGTACAGTACTGTACAACCCTGGCTGCTGCCTCTGCAGGTAAAGGGAAACAGTTGGGGGTTTGGTAAACGCTGCTCAGCTGCATTGTTTTGCCATTCCCCAACCTCAGGTGTGAATGAGCCCTTGGTTCACATCTGCGTGGCTGCATGTAGGGCAGCCATTCATTTTAATTCCTATCCACTGAAATGCAGGGAAAGAAGTTGCCAAACAGAATAAAATGTTTTGGCGCACCCTGCAGAGAATGGGGTGGCTTCTGCAGTGTATGTTACAATATATATCCCTACAATAGGGACTTACAAACTGGGACGGGCATATGATAGTAAGATCAAAGTGCATCAGTCCACACAAGGGTATTTAAATAGCGTGACCTAGAGGCTGCCATCAGATTTTTTTCTAGATTGTGCTACACCAAAAACACACTACGTTTTTGTGGGGGTACCATTAAGAATTAATGACACCCCTGTGTGTCTGCTAAAGAGCAGTGTGTTTGCATGTCAGGAATACACATGATTTTACTTGCATTCCACAACATGCAGTAATGTGAACCAAGCTTTACACTGGGGTGCCTTGAGACTGAAATTACTTTTCAAGGGCGCTGTGACTGGAAAGAGGTTGAGAAACATTGCTGTAAGCTAATCATCCTCCAGACTGTTCATCTTTGAAACTATTGGTCAGAGTTTTGCTCCTGGATTCTGAGCTCCTCCCTCACACCCCTTTAATAGTAATGCAGTGTGCATAGGTCAGTAGTATGTAAAACAGAGTGCAGGGTTAGCAGTAAGTAATGCAGAATGCAGGGTTCAGGAGTAATTAACAAATCTCACTCCATTTTACCCTTGAAATGCAGGTGATAGCAATGTATTAATCCTCTGACTATCCCTGTCTGTGGTGACTTTGTGTATTACAGACGCTTGTGCTAATATCATAGTGTTACTGCTAAGATTTGTGAGATTCCTCCTTCTCTGTAAGAAGGAGGTGGTGGCAGTGTGAAGGGTTAATTGCGTAATTAACCTAACCCAGTAACAATCACTCTCAAGCTGCTGGCACATAGATTGTAGCTCCGCAAGCTGGAAAATCTTTGTGTAGGGCGCAGCTGAGCGTGGCATTGTTACGCAAGTGACAGCGCGGTGCGAGATCGGCTGGTCCTTTGGTCATGAGTTGGTGAGAAGGGCAGGGGTTGGGCGCCATTCCATCACATGGAAGACTGGAGGCAGTTATCCTGATTAAGCTCCAGTGAGTGTGTATATCAGGATTGACCAACACTTGAACCAAGCCTTGCTGCTCTTGCTCACAACTGGGGTAGTCCAGACAAAAGCTGCAAAAAAAAGACAAAGCAAGAGCGCACTGGCCTAGCGCATTATCCCTGAAAGATTTACCACCCAACATGTACTTACCACCCAACACGTACTCTTCGCTCCTCACAAGACCTCCTACTCTCTAGCTCCCTGGTCTCCTCCTCCCATGCCCGACTCCAGGACTTCCCCCATCCTCTGGAACTCACTATCCCAATCCATCAGACTGTCACCTACCCTCCTTATCTTTAGGCGCACCCTGAAAACCCACCTCTTCAGGGAAGCCTACCCCAACCTCACCTAACAGCCAATCTCCTCCACTCTTGCCACCACTCCATCCCCCACAGCTATTTCCTCCTGTACCACTCTCCCCTCCCTCCTAGATTGTAAGCTCCTAGGAGCAGGGCCCTCAATCCCCTCGTGTATTGTTACTGTATTGTCTCATGTACTGTCCCCCACTATAATGTACAGCGCTGAGCAAACTTTTTGGCGCTATATAAATACTGTATAATAATAATAGATAAAAACATACTCACAAACGTGACGACAGTCGCATATCTAATGACAGCCACATGGTGCAATGAGCGATAGGAGCCAATAGACCCTGACGTCTAGATGAGAGCCATCCTAGGGCCAAAATGCGGCCACATGGCTCTGAGGAAGGAACGCGTCAGCTACATTTTGGCCCTGGGATGGCTCTCACCTAGACGTCAGGGTCTGTTTGCTCCTATCGGTCATTGCACCATGTGGCTGTCATTAGATATGCGACTGTCGTCACATGTTTGTGAGTATGTTTTTATCTATAATAAATCTTTTTGCAATAATGCGCTAGGCCAGTGCGCTCTTGCTTTGTATTTTTTGCAGCACAAGATTTTTTTTCCCATTGAGGATACTCCCGTTACATGCTGACTCTGCCCAAAATTGCTAACCCATTGCTGGCTGTGTTCCCTGTGAATTCTCACTTCACTTCCTGTTTAGTTGCCACCTTCACTAGGATAGGAAGTAGGAGGAATTCTTCCCACTGGGGTCACAAACTGCAATGAAATCCTAACAGAGGTTTAGTTCCAAGCTACCCCACTCCATCCAGGAGAGAGCTGGGGCTTAAATTGGACGTTATTATTGGGGTGTTTTGAAGACACACCTGGACAGACCCTTGTTGCTGGCTTTAATTGTAGTGGTGTCATTTTTTTGGAGATAAATTCTATTTTATTTTATTTTTTTTTTCAGGAAAAGGATCTCATTCATAAACTTTTTAAGGTTCTAGTTCCTCGCTTCAGCTCACACAATGCCGACTACATAAGTATGTACCAGATCCCGAACCGAGAGAACCTGGACCGTGCCAAAATGGCTGTGATAGAATACAAAGGAAACCCATTTCCACACCTTTACCTGTTCACAAAAAGGACAATGACAAAACTCTCATTAACCAGCTTCTGTTGGGCTACCGCCTAGAAAACAGCCTGCAGGACACATCCTCCTAATCACCCAGCATTCCCCAGGATTTCTCCTGTACATATTGTATGATGAACCATTACTGTGAACTCTTGTGTAAAGAGAGGCAATAAATAAAGAATGAAGCGATATGAATGGGTAACGTTCTGCGACCACAATGCATGCGCAGTGTATTGTAATCTGTGGCAGAAACGATATTGCTGGAGCATGAATTCTGCCTGCCATCGGTTTCTGCACATCTCTAATCTTGGCACTAAAAATCAATTTACTTTTATTTATTTATTTTTTAAATAATCAATCTTTATATTTTTTTTTTTTTTTTTTTTACAAATCAAGTGTTTTTAAAATATCAAGTATACAATGGTTTGGTTTGTTTTTTTTTTTTCTCTAGTGTTCTTACCATTGTTTTTCAGGCTTCTTTTTTGTCTTGTGCACCCTCCCAATCCTCTGCTGATGCACCTCACTGTTATTAGTGTAGAGCGAGCTGTGCCATTATTTCTGGCCCCATGCTCCACTCTGTGTCCTAAAATTCCAAAAGAACTAAATGTTACACAATTATGCTGGCCATATACGGATAGAAAAAATCATTCGAAAAAGCAAATGATACTCTCGATCATTCGACTTTCGAAACATTAGTGGGCTAATTTTGATTATTGAAATGCAATGTTCAGGTAAAAAACAAAAACAAATCATGTCAGATTTTTTTGAGCCTGAACGATCGATTTTCTAAACATTAGCAGTGGATTCAAACGAAAACAGTTTAAAAAAATCTACAGCGCATGCACGTGTTAAAATGTAACCCAGTAAGTGTAATCGAGTGATGAAAAATGTACCATTTTTGTTATCGATGGATAATATGTCATTAATTGGTGGGCAAGTATCAGTACATTTATTTATTTCAGGTACTTATATAGCGCCATCAATTTATGCAGCGCTTTACATATATATTGTACATTCACATCAGTCCCTAACCCTCAACGAGTGTACAATCTAAGTACATAACCACTCTTTCTTGCTTGCCCCCACCTTTCTCTGCCCCTCCCCCGTATTTTTTTTTTTTTCTATTCCTTGAACTAGATGGTCTTTTTTCAACCACGCTTATGCTGGCCATACACGGTTAGAAAATCGTTCAAATAATACGGTCGGATTCCTAAAGATCTGTTGAACATGCATGAGATAGAAGGTACATTCCATTTTTATTGAAAGTAATTCTAAAGGCAATTTTTTTTTTAAACATTGTCAGCTCTGGAAGGGTTTGCCCTTTTCGTGACCAGGGCTTTTTTTTTTTTTTTGCTAATCAGCCCTGTGCTACTTTAACTGGCAATTGTTCGGTCATGCAACGTTGAACCCAAATGAAATTGAGATACTTTTTTCACAAATCTTTTGGTGTATTTGATCACCACTGGGTTTCTTTTTTTTTGTTATATAAAAAAAATTCTACTTTCTGTTATAAAACAATAAAAAAAAATCAAATTTATTCATAATTTTTTAAAAAATAAAACATGACAGTTGTTCTAATCCTTCTCTATACAAAACTTTAAAAATGTCTTTTAATTATACTTTAATGATAAAGCAAGGTGTAATATCTCCAGAGGCCACCAGATGTCTCTCTCGTCCACGAGAGTTATAATACTCCTACTTTCTCTGATCCTCAGATAGGATCAAAAATATCCCAAAGGAAAGAAACACATTCTTCATAGTGTAGTATAGCAGGTTAAAAAAATCATAAAAAGAATGCATTCCTGTTTGGCTACTGTCAAAACATTTTTGTATAGGGACAGCCAACTTAATAAAGCATAGAATGAAACAACATCTGGTGGTCTCTGGAGATATTACAGAAATAGAAATAAAACCTCCTGCGCTCGGGTGCGATGCTAAGAATGTGTTCCGCCTGACTGGCTAGTAGGTATAGCGGCAAAGGTCTTGCTGCCTCTCTCAGGACTCTGGTTGTCCTCAAATAACTGATATCAACAGCAAAAGAAAAGGGCACATCAACTTAGTGCATTACCAAAAAAACCCATTTATTTAAACTCCTTGGCGGTATGATTCTTTCCGATTTTTTTGTGCTGAAAGCGGTACCATTTTTTTTGCATGGAAATATGTAGTTTTTTATTGTAGGCTGTAATTTTTAGGAATAACTCACTAAAATCTGTCCGAACAAGAGTCTATTAAACATTCCGGATATGATAAAACTTGAAACACGAAATCATAAATTATACTTTAATAAATAATCATAAAAAATAATAATAATTTAATTCAATAATATAATCAAACCAAAAACACTGAAATTTGAAATACAGAGGCAAATTCGCACATCGCCGAGCAAAGTCGCAAAATCGTTTTCAGTGTCTGATGACGAATTTCCCCCACGAATCATTATCACTCAATTCTGCAAGTGGTTCTGATTTACTATCGCTGTTCTCTAGCTGTTCTAAAACCGCTTTTGACATAAAGGGACGCTTTTTGGACGCCATGGACTTTTCTAAGTTTCCAGGCAGAAAGAACAGTCAAAATGCAGACGGGACAGGACAAAGCACTCGGGACAAAATGTATGTGAAATGGGTTGAAACAGCAATGACAGCAAAAATGACATTAAAAATTTCAAATTTCCCGCCGGTTCCGGCGCCCGTACGTCCCGACGTCACAGGGACCGGAACACGGAAGCCAGATGCCGGCATCGGCCGGAGGAGATGGCCGGGGATGCTGCAGGTGACACATCGCGCGAAGGACAAGGTAAAGCGAAGGACAAGGTAAGTGCTGCAGGGACCCCCTGAGCAACGCCGCATGGTAAGCCATGACATGCGAGTGTATACAAAATGCGTGATAGCGCTTGATAGATTATTTTCGAACGACTGTCATAACACTGCATAGAACATCGGTCGTTCGCATGCGAAACAACAAAAGTTTTCACTTGTTGGACATAAAACCGGATTTTTTTCATGCAAAATTTCATTACCGGTTAGTTTTCACTTGTTCAACCGGATTTTTTATAACATCCTGCTCATCAACGAAGAGAAAATCGGTCGATCATTTCATCAACTAAATTTTTCGTACGATTACACATTTCGAGGGACGGACCCTCTTCAGAGCCAAAGAAAGTATATAATACTCTGCTTTATATCACCTGCCTACATTAATGGGTCATATATGTTTAGTGAGAGATTTATTTGAACATTGGTTTGTGCACAATGGTGTATCACAGAGTAGAAACCGTAGTATCAAATCTCTGATGAATTTGGACTTTTAAATATACTGAGGTTGATTTACTAAAACCGGAGAGTGCAAAATCTGGTGCAGCTGTGCATGGTAGCCAATCAGCTTCTAACTGCTTGTTCAATTAAGCATTGACAATAAATCCTGGAAGCTGATTGGTTTCTATGCACAACTGCGCCAGATTTTGTACTCTCGTGTTTTAGTAAGTTCACCCCACTTTGTACATATATATTATGTATTCACAATTTTATTGTACATATCAGCATAGAATTTTTGCAGAGATTACTAATTATTCATGTTTAGCATTCATTATACCTACCAGCATGTTTTTTTGCACAGATTTAATGTTGGAGCGCATAGGGTGCTGATTAAATAGGCTTGCTTTAGGAGTGTTACAAACCCACAACAGTAAAATCAGTCTGTATATGCAGTAAAGCATGCTTGTTATACTCACTGTGGAACCTAAGGGGTTAATCCTCCACATTGTGTAAAAAGGCTGTTTGATCTTGTCTTATCTGATCCTCCCCTTCTTCCAGTGTCCCCCTCTTATCTCCTGATAAGACATATGGTGTGGAGACACTACGCACCTGCTCAGTTAGGTGTGTATTGCTAGAGAGGTTTTTTTTTTCTTTTTAACTTGGGGAGTGCATGTGATCAGCATAGGCCCAATCAGCACTGTCCAGACAGAGGTCATGGGTTCTGCATTCTCTTTGAGGAGAAAGAAAACTCCTACAAGCTTTAACCAGTGCTTTGCTGGACACTGACAAGAAGTCACAAGACTGTTCTAAATGCTGATGAGAAAAGGTATTTAGCAGTTTATAGTTACTAAAATAATAGCATTTCCATGCTGTGTGTACTGTGGGAGACCAGATATAGTGAATGTAGGGCCCGGGGAGACCAGATATAGTGCCTAAACAAGGCAGGGCTGTGTTCTGCCAGTGGCGATCTGCTAGATTTTCTTTCCCTTCAAAGCAGAGAATAAAATCTAGCAGATTGCCATGTAAAACCAGCACACACAGTATACAAAAACATTGGTTAGGCACCTTTGATGCCCTAGATTAACCCTTTCCTAGCCAGTGTCATTATTACAGTGACAGTGTATGTTTTTAGCACTGATCACTGTATTAGTGTCACTAGTTCCCACAAAGTGTCAGACTGTCCGCCGCAATATCGCAGTCCCACTATAAGTCACTGATCACTGCCATTACTAGTAAAAGAAAAATTCTAGCATATATACCATAGTTTGTAGATGCTATAACTTTTGCGCAAACCAATCAATATAAAACTTACTGGAGTTTTTTTTTACCAAAAATATGTAGCAGAATACATTTTGGCCTAAATGCCTGTCTTTTTCGTTTATAAAAGTAAAAAAAAAAAAAACCAAGTGATCAAATACCACCAAATGAAAGCTCTACTTGTGGCAAAAAAATGACAAATTTAATCTGTGTACAGTGTTGCATGACTGCACAATTGTCAGTTAAAATAACGCAGCGCTGTATTGCAAAACATGGTCTGACCATGAAGGGGGGTAAATCTTCTGGAGCTGAAGCGGTTAAGGACGCAGCGACCGCCTGCTCTGTTAACAACCACAGCTCCTTGAGTCATTTTTGAACAAATATTAAAATTACGTATTTGTTATTTTTTTCATTATAACTTTTTTTTTGGATGTGTTACCATTAGTTTCTATGTCCATTCAGATGCACCCTAATCTCTGAAAATTAAATTTTCATCTGAAAAACAAATGCAAATGAGCCCAATTGCACATGTCTATATAATACCTTATGACTTCTTCCCTCTTCTTTGTGTTATTCCCCAC